ATCAAGAAACAGAAGAATCTGGCTAAGGTGGGCGTGTCCTTCCATTTGGTCAGGGTTCAGAAACTCCAGCACTCTGACATTGGGGGGGGGGGGGCACGCCCCTCTTTTATGCTTGTCCACAAGCAGGAAGCAGTGCCACCAATGAAGCTTCAACTTTCTAGGCCAGAGCTCTCTCTTTCACTTTTTAGGGAAAAGACTGACCTACTCTACATGGCAGAGGATCCCGGTAGAAGTTATTCCTACCACAATGGATTATATTGTTAAATAATTGCTTTAAGAATACAGCTGAAAAAAAATTTCCTCCCCATCTCCTGGCACTTGATTTAGGTACAACCAAAATTTTCACATACTGTGTAATATATACAAATTATATTTTGGACTCAGATATCTGGCTACATAATTCATGTAAGGTGATGGTAATTTTCTAAACTGTGTTTCCAAGGTACTCAGGGTCAATTTTCAAGATATCTCAAAGACAGGAAGACTCTCCCGCAAAATAGGAAGCTCACAGATAGAATTCCTCCCCACTGCACCAAAAAACTTTAGGGTCAGTAGTCAGCAATTAGTGACCTCCGCACCTACTTTCTCATCTCTAAAATACCATTATGATAAAAATCTATGTACATTCGAAGGGTATGATTGATTAAAATATAAGTAGGCAAGACAGACCACATAATTGATGAGGTAGGGATCTAGATTAGGGGTTCTTAACCTGAGGTCCATGGACTGAACCACTAAAGGGTCACTGTGCCTAGATGTGAAAAAAATTGCATTTTTATTGTATTTTATTGTATGAATTTCAAATGTAATTCTGAGATGGGGTCCACAGGCTTCACCTGACTGCCAAAGAGATGTATGACACAAAAAAGCTTAAGAACTTCTGGTGGAAAGAATATAAAACACTACTGTTTCTTTTTATTACTTGGTAGAGGAAAACAAAAACCTTAGATTTTCCATAAAGATTGTATAAGACTCTTGGACTGATATATCAATCCACAGAATGAGCTTTATTCAGTGATCCTCTGATGATCTCAATGTTAAACAATACGTAAAACTTGGGAGACATAAGTTTGCTAAAGGTGCCTGCCGGTGTCACAGATAATGTCCTAAGCAGAGTCCAATGAAAGAGATTATGTAAAGATGGTGGCCATCTGGAAAATGGCAGAGGCTGAGCCATGATGGCGGAGCAAAGGCAAGAGATTTGCCTGAGTTCTTCCCCAAACTCCTCCAAATATCTTTAACTAATGTCTGTAGAGCAGCAGAAGCCAGAAAATGCCAGAATGAAATAATTCTCCAGCCCAAGACAACTCAGAAGGTCAGCAGGAAAGGTCTGTCACAACTGGGTGAGAGTAGAGCATAATCCAGCACAGGCAATACCAGCACATCAGCTGAGAGCTCTCAGCCTTTAGCCTATAAGGGGGTCGAACAACTGGTCAGAAGGAGATTACAGGAGTCTCTGCTAGCACTGAGGCAGGACTCTATTGCTTTGCCCGTACTCAGATCTGGGTCAAAGTTCTGGGTGGCAGTTCCAGGGTGGGGAGCACTAGTGCGGCAGAGCTTGTGGCCACAGTGGAGGGTCCCCCCTCACAGCTCCAGGGCAGAAAAGAGTGCTTGTGGTTGCTCACAGAGCAGAACACAGGCCAGGAGAGGGGCAAACACCTCTCCTTAGATCATAACACCTTGGAAGGACTGAAAACTTATGGGTCTCTAGAAATGTCTCTGAAAACCGCTGCACAAAACCCCCGAAGCTTGGGACACCGTGCCCTCCAACCTGGAAGCAAAGTCCTACTTTAGAGAAGAGTTAAAAGTCAAGTAAAAGGCTGGGGAAATAAGCAAACAATAGAAAAAAGTTCTGACTATAGGAAGTTACTATGGTGACAAGGAAGATCAAAATATTCACGCAGAAGAAGATAACCAAGTCAAAGCTCCTGCATCCAAAGCCTCCAAGAAAAATATGAACTGGTCTCAGGCCATGAAAGAGCTCAAAAATGTTTTGAAAATTAAGTAAGAGGGGGCAGCTAGGTGGTGCAATGAATAGAGCACCGGCCCTGAAATCAGGAGGACCTAAGTTCAAATCCAGCCTCAGACCAAAACACTTAACACTAACTGTGTGACCTGGGCAAGTCACTTAACCCCAACTGCCTAAAAAAAAAAAATTAAGTGAGAGGCAGAGAAAAAAATGTGAAGAGAAATGAGAGTGATGCAAAAAAAATCATGAAAAACAAGTCAACAGCTTGGTAAAGGAGACACAAACACACACACACACACACACACACACACACACAAACACTAAAGAAAATAACACCTTAAAAAACAGACTAGGCCAAATGGTAAAAGAGGTCCAAAAAGTCAATGAGAAGAAGAATGTCTTAAAAAGCAGAACTGGCCAAATGGAAAATGAGGCAAAAAAGCTCACTGAAGAAAGTAATTCCTTAAAAATTAGAATGGAGCAAATGGAAGCTAATGACTTTATGAGGAATCAAGAAACAATAAAACAAAATCAAAAGAATGAAAAAGTAGAAGACAATGTGAAATATCTCACTGGAAAAACAACTGACCTGGAAAATAGATCTCATCAGAACTGACTCAAAGAGGGAATAAAGACCCACTCAACTGGGCATAGAAATCTATCCTACCCTACAGGAAAGTAGGAGGGAAGGAAGGGGATTGGGGTGGGGGGAGAATACAAGGCCTCATTTCTCAAACATATAGAGAACTGAGTCAAATTTGTAAAAAAGCCATTTCCCAATGGATAAATGATCAAAAGACATGAATAGTTTTCAGATGAAGTAATCAAAGTTATTTAGAGCCATATGAAAAAACTGCTGTAACTCACTATGGATTGGAGAAATGCAAATTAAAACAATTCTGAGGTACTACCTCATATTTACTAAATTGGCTGATCGGACAAAAAAGGAAAATGACAAATGTTGGAGGCGATGTGGGAAAAATGAGACATTAATGCACTGTTGGTGGAGTTGTGAACTAATTCCACCATTCTGTACAGCACTTTGGAACTATGCCCAAAGGCCTATAAAACCATACATACCCTTTGACCTTGCAATACCAGTACTAGGTCTGTATCCCAAAAGAGATAAAAAACAAAAAGGAAAAGTACCTCTATGTTTGTTTGTTTGTTTTGATGAGGCAGCTGGGGTTAAGTGACTTGCCCAGAGTCACACAGCTAGTGACTGTTATGTATCTGAGGCTGCATTTGAACTCAGGTCCTCCTTACTCCAGGGCCAGTGCTCTATTCACTATGCTACCTAGCTGCCCCTGAAAAGTACCCACATGTACAAATATATTTATAGCAACTTTTTTTTCTGGTGGCAAAGAACTGAAAATTAAGTGGATGCCCATCAACTGGGGAATGGCTGAACAAACTATGGCATGTGATTATGATGAAATACTATTGTGCTATAAGAAATGATGAGCAGGATGCTCTCAGAAGAACCTGGAAAGACTTAGATGAGATGATGCAAAGTGAAATGTTCTGTGTACAAAGTAACAGCAATAGTGTAAGATAATCAGCTATGAATGACTTAGCTATTCTTAGCAATGCAATGAGACAGGACATCTCTGAAGGACTTTTGATTAAAAATATTATCCATCCCCAAAGAAAGAACTGATGGTGTCTGAATACAGAATGAAGCATGCCTTTCTTTACTTTCTTTATTTTTCTCGAGGGTTGGGTTTTTTTTGGTTTCATTTTGGTTTGGTTTGGATGTAAGTTTTCTTTCACAACATAACTATTATGGAAATGTTTTGCATGACCACACATGTATAACCTATATCAAACTGCTTGCCTTCTCAAGGAGGGGGGTTAGGGAGAGAGAAAGGGAGAGAATTTGGAACTCAAAGTTTTAAAAATGAATATTAAAAATTGTTTTTACACGTAACTGGGGAAAAATAAAATACTAAATAAAAAAAATAAAGACGGCCAGACTCTTCAGAAGTTTCCACAGGCTACATGAAATACTTCCCATGTGGAACCCAGAGCTATAGAAAATCCTTACAAATGGAATACATTGGGTCATAAGAAATGATAAAACAGATAGTTTCAGACATAATTACACTATTTGAACTGATTCAGCGTGAAGTGAATAGAATCAGAAGAACTTCTGTATAATAACAACGCTATAACACTTAAGGTCTCTGATCAACATAATTATGAACCATGATTCCAGAGGAGCCACACCCTCTGACAGAGGAGCAAGGACTCAAGGACTCCAAAATGCATTATGAGATACTCATTTTGGGACATGACCAAAGAGAGGATGTACTTTACTTGACTATGCATATTTTTAACAAGGCTTTTCTTTCTTTTCCTTTTTTATTTTTTTGCGGGGGGGGGTGGTTGTGGGGGAGCCAGGGCAATAAATGCTAGTTGATTGAAAATGATGCTTTTTAAAAAAGAATCTCCACAAAGAACAAAAATTTTAAATCAATTCCAGGAAAAGGTACTGCAGATCACCACAAATTATGGAATAAAATATTAAAGAGCTTTAAATTCAAATCACTGAATGAGACTCTCTTCAAGAAAATACAGGCAAGTGATAAAACACTAGGGTTAGAAAGGACCACCATTTTCACTGAACGAAATAAAGAATATACTGCCCAATCCGACAAAATAACTCAGCTACCAAAAATGTTTGAGTTAACTATGACATAAGAAAACCCGGGGGGGGGGGAGGGGGCGGCCGCGAGGTGGCTTGGTGGATAGAGCACCAGCCCCAGAGTCAGGAGGACCTGAGTTCAAATCTGGCCTAAGACACATAACACTCACTAGCTGTGTGACTCTGGGCAAGTCACTTAACCCCAATTGCCTCACCCATAAAAAAAATCCTGTGGCTATCTTTTGAAAATAATTTTGACATTTAAAAATTAAACCAGAATAAAGTCTAATTCAAATTTAAAGTTTCTGAATCACCATGCAAGTTCATTTTTACATTTGTATACAGCCAAAAGATGTTCAGCATAAAATCAAGCCAAGCCTGTACCTTTTCTGCTTTCTTGTCGGAGATATCCTGCTTCTCTAAAACTGCCATGCTTTCCTTCAGATTCTTCACGATGTCTGCTGGAGACTTATGAGACTTCCCAAACGGGAATGGCATGACTGCAAGCTACACGGGGCTTGTCTCCTTTTCCTGTTTTATCTGTGGACAAACAAACAAAAACAACCACCACAAACCAAAGTGAGAAAAAAAATGGGCTTTGAATTCCACAAAAAGCACAAAGGAGTTTTATGTAGAATAAACTCTAGGATCTAGCCTAAGAGAACTAATACTTTGGAGACACTGACACTTAACTAAGGTCTGAAATGAAGAACACCGGCACTCACCACCAACAAATTCTACTACGAGCAATCACGGCACTGATCGTACTACTCCCATAAATACTATCTCCACAATGCTTTCATTCATTTGATTCAGACGGTGCCCACGGGAGAAGGTGAGGGCCGCCACCATGGTCCCACTGTCCTAGATGAGAAGAACAATAGTCTCTGGGTCATCCGATGTCTGGAGCCATTCATTAATGCTCTGTCACCTCGACCAGGCAAAGCCACCCAGCTGAAATGCATGAGGCATCTCTAAAACGTCCCTGGTATTTGAGAGGTCTCTGAAAGGTTCGATGAGCCTCCAGTCTCCTATGACCTCTCGTGTAGTGGAAATTCTATCCGTACAGACGAGTGGGCCCCTGTCTGGGGCACTGTTTCAATGACCTGGCCAGGATCAAAGAGCCAGTATGTGTCAGGGCTGATAGAGGAAGAAAACATTCCATAACCTGAGGTTCCTTTTCCTGACATCCCCATGTTCTAGATTCCCTCCCAGCCCTACCATTCTGACTTCCCTGGCTTTAAGTGTCCTCCAGCCTTAACTGTTAATATTCATGATTTACCATGCTAAAAAGTGCCTCTACTCCCACTAAGTTGGGCAGCATACAGCAGACACATGCTTTCAATTTATAATCAGTCCTAGGCCTACCCTACCCGGCATCCATGTGCTCCCCCAACAATCAGGTTTCTATGCTGATCATCACTAAGTCCAATCACACCTTGGCCCTGGGAGGGGGCAGAAGGCAGGGCAGGAACAACACTACCTGAACTTCCTTCTCAGAACTCTGTACTTTGACTCGGCCCTCTTGCTATCCAAAGTCTCTCACAGCAACAAGTCGCCAAGGACTCTCCTCTTCTGACCAGAATGCAAAATTATTTCTAATTGGTTTTCCTTCCTCTGCCCCCATGCCCATCCTCCCATTTTCTTGGTGGATATATGTTCACTTGGTATAGAGAAAAGGAATTTGATGAAACCAATCCAGGTAGGGGTGACTAATACCATTCCTACCTACCTCACTGCTCCTCTAATGCTCTCAGAGTTGCTTGACTATTAGCTCAAAGGAATTTCTTGCTGGTACAACATAACACAGGGAGTTCAGAGCAAGGTGGCTTGTCTAAATGCAGGCAGGCAGGCAGCTAAGTTCAAACATTTAAAAAAAAAAAAGAAAAAAATAATCAAACAAGGAAAAAAACCCACCCAGATCAAATAATTGTCAAGAAACTCAATGAGAAACTACAATAAGTGAATTCTTCCACCCCAGAACTGTACCTCCAAAACCAGCCAAAAACCCAGGGGCAATAGGAAAGATGGGCCACCTGAAAAGCCAGCCACAGTGGACAGGCAGATAACCAAGGGCACACTCAATCCTCTTCTTCTGTTCTACTCTGTACGTGAAAATGACTGTCTGGGGAGGAGGGGAGTGTGTGTTAATTTCAGAACAAAAACAAAACCCAAAAAGAGATTGAAGACAGGGTAGCCAAACGACCTTTTGGTGGCAGACCTTACATTAAGTCATACTACTTTGGACTACTCTACCTAAGGTCAGCTGTAGGAAGAGGAAAAAGAAAGAATTGTGGCCCCCATTCTCCAAATACTAGGCTAATATGCTGAGGTTAATGATGCTGGAAGATACAAACGGCCACCCTCCTTAGGTTGTCACTCCTATGTCCTCTCTGCTCTCCACCAATGCCTTGTCTGTTGGAGGCAGAGAACAGGCCACGGAGAGGAAACACACTTATTTTGCTGCCTCTGTAGTCTGTGATTCTACCCAGGAGCTCTCTCTACTACCTGCTTACTAAGCACACACACGCATACGTGCACATGCATGCGTGTACACACACACACACACACACGATATTACTCCAGATAAAAACCAAAAACTTTGGAGGGAAACAATACATTTTAAAATTCATTTGCCGTCCTTGAACGGAGCTCTCCTGCCCCCAGATCTCTACACAGGCTGTCCCTTAGAAGGTTTTCTGCACTGTTCACCTACTCACTTCCTACCTCTCTTGTACCCTCCAAGTCAAAGGCAACATGTTCCTGGAAGTTCTCCACAAGACTTTTTTTTCCTTGGACTTCACACTGTACCTTTTTATAGCACATACCTGTAATGTCAGGTAATACTTTTTATCAGAAATATCTGCATTGGGATTTTAGCCTCCTACTAAAAATTATAATAGCTCCTTCAAGGTAGGTCCAGTCTTATCTAAACTTTCTATCTCCCCCAACATGATGTCAAGTTAGAATTATTCAAGAGGCAGCTAGCACAGAACTAGAGTTCAATAAAGAGATCAGGCTCGGAAAAATAGACCTGGGAGTCATTTGCAAAGAACTGTGAAATGAAATGATCATCATCGACATAGCTAGCATTTATCTTATGCTTTAAGGTTTAAAAAGCACTTTACAAATAAATAATGACATCATTATGCCCACTTTACAGATGAGGAAACTGAAGCAGATAGAAGTTAAATAATGTACCTGAGGTTAAATCTGAACTCAGGTCTTCCTGAGTGCAGGCCCAGCAGTCTATCCACTGTGCCACCTAACCACCAGCAGGCAGCTTCTAACTTTTCTAAGAAACTATACAGAGAGAACAAGGCTAAAGACAGAGCTTTGGGGTACGCCACTAGTAAGGGAACATGATACGGACAAGAAGTGGTTAAACATGTAGGACGAGAACCAAGGAGAAAACTCAGGGAGGATGAGTATTCATGAGGAAGATGTACGAGAAAAGGGTGCCAGATTTTAAGATTAAGAGATCACTGGTAACTTTGGAGAACACAGCTTCTGCTGAGTGATGGAGGAGGTCACGAATGAGAGGAGAGGAAGTGGAGATAACCAGCAGAGACAGCTTGTTCGAGGAGTTTGGCTAAGAGAGGGAAGAGAGAAATCAGCTGCTAGCCTGAAGAATCAAGCGCTCCCTCACAGCTGTGAACAGCAGGCCCAAAGCACAGCCCTGAAAGGTCCCTCCAACGGGACACTCAGAAGCTCCAGAGGTTCCCTATTAAGATGAAGTACAAACTCTGGCTTACATGTAAGCCCTTTCACAACCTGGCTCCAACCGATCTTCTCTTCCCCTTCATTCTTCCTCACACATGACAGAATGTCCTTCCTTGTCACCTGAGAATCTTAATCACCTCCCTCAAGGAGCCTTTCCTGATTGCCCCCTCCCCAAACCTAACACCTCCCTGCCAAAAAAATCACTTTGGCTTTACTTAGTAGATATTTACATGGGCATGTGTGGTTGCCCTTGTAGAATGTAAACTCCTTGAGGGTGGGGACTGGATCATGTTTTCCTTTGTATCCCTAGCTTAGCACAGTAAGAAAGGCTTTTTGACTGACCGACTAATCACAACCACTCTACAACTCACTAGGAAATCTTAACCAAAAACTTCATCACCCTGCAGCCAGCCTGGTCATGTTCCTTGCCCAATGTGTCTAGACTTCCTGGATGACAGATGTGTAACCCAGTGCCAGGCTCACCCCCAAAGTCTCTCCAGCCTGAGAGGCCTTGGGCACTGCTAGGGCAGGAGAGAGAGAATCTGACTTAGCCGGCTCTCTACGATCCAAAGACGTCATTATGAACATCAGTACTTGGTATTGCGCTGCATAAACGGAAAGGAGGATTCCAAAAATGCAGCATCAGGGATGGTGCAGCGTCCTCCTGCAGCAGTTAAGTGCAGCCCAGTGACACTGGCCTCCTGGCTGGCTGCCACCACACAACATTCCACAGCTCCTGGCATCTTCCCTGGCTGTTCCAGCCCTGGAGCCCTGCCCCCTCTCATCTCGGCAGCCTGGACTCCCTAACTTCCTTCAAGCACGAGCTTAAGCTCCTCCTTAATCTTAAAGCCCTCCCTCTGAGGGTAGCTGTTGGCATACATGTTGTCTCTACCATCAGAGAGGAGGGCCTATTTGTGGCCTTTCTTTGTATCCCTAATTCTAAGCACACATTAGGCGCTTGATAAACGTGCGCTGAGTTGAGCCATGTCGGTACTTTACCATGTATACATCCCAGTGTGAAGCTCCTGGAGGAAAGAGGCTGTTTGTCTTTGGCTCTGTATCCCCGGCCCTAAGAGTGCCTCGCACGCAGCAGACCTTAGTCATGGAGGGCTCTATGAGCCCGAGCCCAGTGGCCTCACACTGATGACGGGCTTTGGCGGTTTGTCCAGACCCTTCCCTCTCTGTCAGCTGTCCCTGCCAGCGTATTTGCTTCCAGCAGGCTCTCCAGTTCCTCACTTCACTGTTGTTCAATGTAACTCAGGCTACGAGAGATAACAAGATGCCAAGCTGGGAAATCAATGATACTTATTTCATGTACAATACGAAATCAAGTGGCTATACCCTTCATTACAATACTGAAGTCCTGAGACACGTGTCTATCTAGATGGCTGAGGCTACCAGAAACACGAGGGATCAGCTTAACAGAAGCTTTAACACCCAGACAGAAGCACACAGGGTCCACAAAACAGCTGCCATTTTAAAAGGTACTGGAAGACCCAACATTTGCCAGAGACATTAAAGCTCCGGTTAGACATGGGCAACAGGAACCAACATTTCAAAGATGGGACACTGCAATGATTCATCATCAGAAAACTGTCTCATATACAAAATCAAAGACAATGCAGTCTTCCTCCATGCCTCATTAGAACACCATTCCCACCTCCTCACTCTCACCAAGTTTGTGTGTGGTGATATGACCTTGTTAGCTGACTATTGAGGAAGGATACCTCAATATTTCTATCACACATCCCGTTCCCACAGTGCCTGTTACAAAATACCTCTTCCATTCCCCTTTAGGAGAGGCCCCCAAATCTCCT